TATATATATATATATATATATTAAAGTATGATATAATGTAACTTATTCTCATCCTACCAATTATATGGAAGGATGCATTACTTATTTTCGTTCTTCCATTTGCATCCTGCCCACATGCTAGTGTATGTAAAGTCTCTTCCATTTTTATCCAAAAAAAATTCATTGTCTTAACATAATATGTTTTCGCTTATTTTTATAATTTTTTTCTTGTCTCTTCCTTATACCTTGTATTTTTGTACACATGAATATGAACAGCTCCAAGTAACATGGCTTTAATTACATATATACTGTTCAAAAACGTGTTAATAAATGGGGGAGAAAGGACAACAATTTAAAATTTGAAATGAATAGAAAAAGTTAAGAAGAAAATTTTGAATTTTTTAATGTTTAAAGTTTCCTTTCTTCATTACTTTTGTCTTTATTATTATCATTTTTTGGGCAGAGCTTTATTATTTTTTCAACTCCATAATATTTTGGATTTTAAAAATTCCCATTCCTCTATACGGGTAAATGGGTGGACGACCACAAAAATAATTGGCTATTGCTCCGGTGCCCTCTTATTTGAAGGGGTTTTGGTGCCCCTCAGTACAAAAGTTGGGTTTTTAGGGGCAAAAAGGTAAATTGATCAATTTATTAATTTACTTTATTTGCTCCGGTGCCCTCTTATTTGAAGGGGTTTTGGTGCCCCTCAGTACAAAAGTTGGGTTTTTAGGGGCAATAAGGTAAATTGATCAATTTATTAATTTACTTTATTGCCCCTAAAAACCCAACTTTTGTACTGAGGGGCACCAAAAACTGTAATCTGAGACAACGGTTCTTAATATAAATTAATGGAAAATTTCTATTTGGCTTCAGAAATTTATCTCAACAAAAGTCACTTATTTTTTATAGACTAATAATAGATTTATCCATATTTGTTTATAACTCCAGTTATAAAAATTAGATTTAGTAATGGTGAAACGTTGAGACAGGCTTTTTCAACATAAACTTCAGTTACTTCTAATATATTTCCCATTTGGTGCCAACTTTTCTTTGAATTCATGTCAGTTTTCAGTTTCTCACAGCTTCTTTTTAACACAACTATTAAAATTGAATATACCAATTTTTACTTGTTGCACTGTGAGAGCACTACGGAATTTTGTGAAACGTAGCTCCCCTTCATGTTTTTTTGTATGATTGAGTACCAAATTTCTCGGTTCTTTTTTGTTCCTTTTTCGTTTGTTGGAGCAAGTACCAAATATCTGAATGCTCGAGTTGTGCTACATGACAAAAACCAACTTAAGGAAACCACTGATTTCCCCTTTCTCCTTTGGTTGGATCCCACCGATTTATATTTCTCAGTTACATCAATGAACCATTCAATTTCAAGGAGTTCCAACTCTTCCTCCTTTTTCTATGCCAAATGTTTGATGCTTCTTTTCTATTTATTTCTTCACCTTACATTGAAATAGGTCCCTTACCTTGGTAAATGCTAATGTTTTCCAATTTTAGATATGCAAATAAGGGAAGAAAAGTGATGTTTGATATGTTAACATTACAAGTATAACTGTGAAAGAGATTCTCCCCCAAAACGTTTCATGCAATGGAACTGGGAAAGAAAAGAAAACTCTTGTTAATATGACTGGTCATTTACAAACATGATATACTAGTATGGCCTAAGAAACCACCACAGAATCTGCAAAATCACCCAAAAGAAAAGGAAATAGAATAGAGAAAGAAAATATAAACCACACCATGAAAACCAAAATCATGCAAAACAATCAATTACACAAGAATCATGGCCAACCAAATACCCCTATCATCTTATTACAGAAAAGGGTAAAAGAAAAAATCTCTAGAAACTGAAGAATCAAGGTTTGGTTCAAAAACTGTGCAGTTGAGTTAGCATGTGAACAAGCTCATCACTAGAAGGCCTATCTGCAGGCATATCAGAAAGGCACGCAGCTGCAATCCTAACAGCCATTAGCATCTCATCTTCCTCTCCTTCTTCCCCTAACATGCTCTTATCTAGAGCGTCCCGAGCCTCACCGGCTTGCTGCAAGTGTCTAAGCCAACATCCCAAACTTCCCCCACTGGCTGCTTCTCCAAAGAATGGATCTATCGGGTCCCTACCCGTTAACAAAACACCTAGTATCATGCCAAAACTGAAGATGTCACTTTTGTCAGTGTACCTGCTGAAATTGAAAGAAAAAAAAATCAATTTGAATACAATGAAGTTTCGCATACAAGAATAGAATGGAGTCAACAATTATGAAATAGCTAATGGAAAAACCATATGCACCTACAATATGTGACTCCCAATATTGTAGGGTGTCACATATTTATTGTAGCTGCATTTTTTATATGCAATACATCAAACAAGCAACCTTTTTATTCTTATTGGCAAAACATTGCTATTGATATTGATGCTCTCAGGGACATATACACCAATGAAAAAACCAGAAACATAACAATTTAAGTTGTGAACAAACCTTTGTCAATTATTATTATTCTTATCATAATTTTTAGTTGAGTTCCCTTCCCACTCACCAATCTAAGTTTAGTAATTTGCAGCATGTGAACTATTTTCATTTGGACCAGACATAGTGCCTAAGGTCTAATACTTGACATCAGCAAGTAGAAGGTAGCCAGCCACAAAAACATTAGTTTTGCAAAATCTTCATTAAATAACACCAGACTCAATCAGCAAATGACACCATGAAAATTGAGAATAATGATTACGTTTCACAACAAGAGTCTTTGATTAGGATACTCCAAAGTCCACAGAGAAAAACTCCAATGAGGGTGGAGCTTTTAAAAGGTAACTAATCACACAAATGCCCAATATCAACCACCTAGTTACTCTTGATTTAAAATTTAAAATAAAAAAAAAATAAAATAAAATAAACAGACGAATTTCAAAGCACCAGTGGATGAGCATGATTCAAAGTCAAAGCCATTGATTAGTCTTACCTGCAATTATGGAAACATTCAGGAGGGGTGTAGAGAGATGTTCCTCTATCCAAGTTGTGCAGAAGTTTAGCCAACCCACAATCAGCCAATCTGGGTTCAAACTCAGCATCCAACATCACATTTGTGGGCTTCAAGTTGTAGTGCAGAATCTGAGGCACACAAGTGAAGTGAAGATACTGAAGACCCTTCACCACACCAACAGCAATCCTGAGCCTAACTTCCCAACCAAAGGCTAACTCACTCTCCCTCACTCTATTCAACACATCAGCAAGACTCCCAGTGGAAACATAATCATAAACCAATGAGAACCCTTCAGCCTCGCGAACATAGGCCCTCAAACTCATCAAGTTTCTGTGTCTCAAGCCTGCAAGAAGCTCTAACTCAGCTTGTATCTGCCTCTTCACTGATTTTCTCTTGGCCTCTGGGGAATTGCTCTCGAAGGGTGTTAGCCTTTTGACGGCAATAGTGAGTCCATTGTCAAGCACAGTTTTGTAGTACTTCCCATTCGGACTCGAACCAAGCAAGTGGTTTTCCTTTGCCAAAGCTGATTGGAGTGTCTTGGGGGCAATTTTGGGGGAGAATATAACAGGGCCCTTGAGGATTGGTGTGCGGTTCAGATACTGAACAACACATCGAACCACAAGAGCAAAGAAAACAGAAAAAACTAGTCCGGTAACTGCTCCTAAAACCATGCTCAAAATGATCTTCCTAGGGTCATCCTTGTACCCTGATGATGGTGGTGATGGTGAAGACCTAGAAGGAGAAGGAGGCTCTGAAGAAACATGTTTACTCAACCTTCCTTGACACTGTACAGTGTGGTGGTGCAAGCTGAACAAGAAGAGAAGAAAAAGCGGCTGAAATGCCAATAATTCCCTTGCAAGAGAAGGGGTGTGCCTTTTCCTAAACATGAAAGCACAAGAAAGAAAGAAAGCCACAACCAGAAACCACTCTCAGAAGCTCCAAAATGAGGCATGAATCACTCAGATGCTCAAAAACCCCATCACCTCAAACACTTGGAAACAAGACCAAGAACAACTTTTTACACTAGATGCTAAAATGGGTTTAAAAAGTGCAACACAGGCACAAGCATAGGCATAAGCATCTTCCTCAACCTTTTCAACTCAAAATCTTCACAAGAAAGCCATCGCAAAAAAGCAAGCAGACTTCACATTCTCCCACCGAATCCCTTCTTTTTCGTAAATTTTCCAACTTCACACGAATCAGAACAAGAATTTGAACCTCCAAAAGAAAAACCAAACAAAAAAACCACTATTCCCAGGTGGCAGCAGGGACAAATAACAAAACCAAGCAAAAGCAAACTAGAGCCAGAAACAAGTTGCTCTCTTTTTCCTTGGAAACCAAAAAGAAAGTGAAAAAGTTGAACAGAAATTGAAGGGTCATGAACATGTGGTAACAAAACTTGAACAACAATAACAGCAACTAGAACAAGAGACACACGAAAACTCTCCTCAGAAACTGCAATGTCATTGGATTTGGGTGCTTAGTTACACACATAAGCACAGTGACAGAGTCACGCACACAGCGTGTAGAGTGAGCGAGTGATTCAGTGGTTGTCTCATGTTTCTCTCTCTAAAAACTCTTTCTTTCTCTCTCTCTCATCTCATGACAACAAAGAGCCATACCTCTGCGACAAAAACTGGTTCCCGCCTTTGTGAGTAGCCTGCACTCAGGACACAGTACCATGTGGGCCCCACGGTTGGTCCGAAAGCGAAACATCGAAATCCGTGAGAGGGAGAACGTACACTTCGCCTCCACCGTTCGATCTCATCAAACTGGATATCATCCGTTAGATTAAGTTGCATGGGAATTTGTGATTTGCCATGAGTGAGTGGCTAACAACTCTAGCTATGTGTTATGTTTGGTGTGTCATTAGTAAAGTTATCTTCTTTTTTTATTTTTTCGATCGAATAATTGCTTTTTTAATTACTTACGTTTCAATTATATATAATTGCATGCTTTTACTTTTCCTTCTTTCTATCTTATCTTTTTCTTTTTTTCTTTTTTTTCTATGCGATAGGTGGAAGCTGCTGGGATTAGGAACGACTTTAACTAGTTCTTTCTGGAATATGGAAAAAAATCTTTTGGATTTTTAGATTCTTATATTAATGTGATGTTGGAATAGGGTAATTGAATATGGGTGTTGTGTACATTAAAAATGATTTATTAAACTCCGAGGATCTAACACTCTAGTCTATAGGGGTGAGTGAATGACCAACCTATGTACGTATATGCAATATATTATGTATTCATGTTTGCTTGCTCAATTTATAAAATGAAACTTTACGAAACAAGAAATGATAAGTGCCTAGATTTTAAATTATATTTTTTTTATAACAAGGATTTTAAATTTTAATTTATGCCAAGCATGTGTAAATGATGATAATGGCAAATAATAATGCTGGTTTGATAAATTACTAGATTTTCTTTTTCCTATCATGATACACGTTTTAATATAAAATATGTAATAGAGACTAATTTGCACGGTTTTAAATTTATTCTTTTCAATATTACTATTATTTTAAAAATAATTCTTTTAAATCCTTAAAGCAGGCATATTATTAATTTAAAACAAGCATATAATTGGATACAGTCAGTTTCATTTAATTTTTTTAATAACCAAACAAAATGAAACAAATGCATAAGTTCATGTTGTTTTTTTTTTTTCTGTGTTGGTTTGAGTTTTGATTTTGAACACAAAGGCACGTTTTATAAATAATTAAGATTGTGAAATTCACATATTAGGGGCAGCAATCATTTTCATATAAATATTAATGTCGCTCATAGAGCAGTGGTGTCTTATTGAAAGTCAAATTTTTTGGGTGATAGTCAACTATTTTTACAAGGAATACTGTGCTTTGACTCATTAGTCATAAATTTATACTAAAAAAAAGGGTCTTGTGCGAGGGAATAGAATTATGCGAAAATGACCTTGACCTTTTTAAATTAATTTAATTATAATAGATAATCAAACTTGTGTACCAAAATGTCCTGCTTAAAACACACGCGAAACCAATTAGTCATTTTCCCTCAAAGTATTCTCCACAATGTTTAATTTTCAGGTTAGATAAAAAAGTAAAATGAATAAAACTTTTTCCCACGAGTTAAAATTAATTTATCTACCTCAACTTTGAAGAAACTCTCATATTTAACTTTAAAAATAAATACACAGAAGTTGATTTTAGTTTATATAGTTTTATTTATTTACCTCCTATAGGTGTTTTTTGACAAGGTTATCCTTGAACCCCAGATATCAAGACTATATTCAATATAAGATTTTGTGAACAGTGGTCTAATTTTATAATTGAAAACTTTACTTTCTTAAAAATAACAGATATTAATTTTGTCTTAAAAAAACGTTGTTTTTTCCTCTTAATTAGAAAATCATGTTAAAATCATCTTTTGCGCATGCACTGTGATGTAAAGAGATTATATCGTATTATTTCTTAACATGGAAATGTTGAATTGATGCAATTCTTTTTTTCAGCGAATCAAATAATTTTATCTTTAAATAAAACTGAATTTTTTAAAAAAAATTACAAGTTAACGTTATTTGTATATTTAGCAGATCACAATGTATCTTTCTCTAACTTGTAGTCTCGTCATAAGTCATAATCCAATTGAAGAGGGCCCACTTCAGGTGTTGCTACTCTGTCACTAATATCAATAATTACGTTAAGGTTGCCCGTGACAAAAGTTGAGGTTTAGTTGATAGCTGTGTTAACAACATAAGATGAGTGTTGGCCAAAAGTTGAGATTTAGTTGATAGCTGTGTTAACATAAGATGAGTGTTGGCCACCATAATCTACCGGATTCCTCACGGTTTATTTTGGCAGTAAACATGATGTCTATGCAAAAGAGTAAAATTTCCCATACAAGTTTACAAAATATCTAGACTTCTTTACGTCCTACACTTGCTAACTATATAATTGACCTTTCTTTATATATTTGTTGTATCTGTGCAGCAAGGGTGATTTATTACTGTCGATTACGAAAAAATCAATGGACACTTCTACCCATTTATCCAAATTGGAGGTGAAATGGGTCAGTTCACTTTTTGATTCAATTGACCAAAAAATTCTCAAGCCTTCAACATATGCCCCACAACGTCTTTTCATGTTTGAAACTTTTCAAGATTACAATCTGTATTACAGTTTATTTTTGGAGGGGGGTGGGGCATGGGGTTGTCAGGTGATTGATATATTTTCTTTTCTCTTTTTTTCCTTGAAAATATTTTGTTTTAAAAATATAAATACATGAGAACATTATAGAACTACTGGGGGCATGACATCCTCAGTACATGTCCCACCAAGTAATACCAAAATACAAAAAATGTGAATTACAGCCACAACACCTTCACAAAAACCAATGTACATACACAAATCCCTAGCCTAGTGCATCGCAGCTTCACCTCAAAAGTAAACAAAAATACACAAACATCATATTACAAAGTGCTGGCTGGGGGGCTACCAGTGCAGCGCAACTCTTTTACTAAGACCAATGTGGCCATTTTACATTACAGATCTTAGCACTATTTTGCACAAGATGACTAAGGGGCAGGCATTTCAACCTACCTCTCCCTTAATCCTTCACACTAGTGACATTTACTTCAAAAAAAAACACCAGCTTTTCAATTTATGAAATACAAATTTACATAATCCAATCTTCCATATTTTAGATATGTAATATACTCCGAGATCTTTTGACTATCACTCTCATCCATTAGAATCAGTCAACGGAGCATGGACTTCTCTGTCACCAGCATTTGACTCTGCAGCAAGCTCAATAGGGGTTCTTCCCTGCTCATCCACAGCTCGGGGATCGGCACCCCTGCATTGTTAAAGATTTCAGTATCATTCAGGATAAGACTCAGGATTAATAAATCAGCAAATAACCTACTAGTATCTGGAAGGGTCAATTAAGTGACATTATCAAAGAGTTGAAGTTGTTGAAAGAACCAGAAGAACCATCATAAAAGTTACATTAGACTCACCTTGAAAGCAATAATCTTGTAAAAGTAGATCTGCCTTTGAGAATACAGCGATGTAGTGGTGTTTGACCTCTTGAATCAGTTGCATTAACATTTGCACCATACTGTAGGAGGAGCTCCACCATGCCAATATCTGCAGTGTCACAGGCAAGGTGAAGTAGGGTGCACCCATCTAGATTGTCCATGACCAAGCCTTCTTTCATAGAGGACCAGTCCAATGTGTTCCCTGCCACAGTAGAGCTGTGATCATGGCTAGTCTGCTCTTGTAATAGCATTACTTTGGCGAGGGTTAAGGAACTGCTGCACGTTTGTTCATAAACAGCATTAACATCAACGTCGGAATTAACAATGTAACGGTATACAGCTTTTTTGTCATTAGCATGAACAGCCTCCCAGATTTGTTGTGCCACCAAGAGACGGTATTGATTGTCCTTTGGCTTGCGAACAAAAAGCTTCTCGGCATACTGCCATGAAAAAACAAATGTTTCAGGGAGTCTAAAATACAGAAATCAGAAGGCAGCAGCATAAAAGGCTCAATAGTATAGAAAGTTATAAATACACAAGTACAGTTAACATACATCACCAGGTGCTTGTAATTGCAGTCATAAATGCAAACAAATAATGTTATATATAAGTAATCATTAAACAAAATCTCCAGTCAAATGGAGAGCACCACCCCATTCATACACTTTTTTGTCATTTTAAAAGCTGATTAAAAAAACAGTGAACTACTAGTCTTGTTCAATAAATTATTTCTGCCACTAGTTTTGTCTCCATATATCCAATTATCATTAAGTGCTGCCTAAGAGCATATATCAGAGAAACACTGACCATTAGACGTGATAACTAGGAATTCTAATTGTGAGAATCCTACTTTCTTTTCTAATTTTCTTCTTCTCTTCAGTTTCCTCAGTCTAATATCTACTTTAGATCTGTTTGTGACGATATTACTTTAAATTAATCCAAAAAGCAACAAAACCTTCATCCGCTCTCCTTCCTCATTTCCCCTAAATCTCACCCTTATACAAGCTTTTAAAAAAATAGTAGAGCATCTTTCAGCAAGAGTTGAAAGTGTACATAGACATACCTTTGCATGGATGAACTTTTCCTTCACAGATAGAGAATCAGACTGTGAAGGTTTGGTGATGAAGAACATCAGTGGTTTATCAGACTTGCTTAAGCTAAACAATTAGTGCAAGACAATATTAGCACTGGTTGGTCAAACAATAAAATGGTAATAATAATGGGTCTAATGTGAAGACGTAATAAAGGGGATTCTTTACCCTGTAGGGACAAGATCAACCTGAAAGGCACTTCTTGATTGTAATAATTCCTCCCAGACTGAGTTGGCAAAAGTATTCCCAAGAGACTGAAATAAACTTATGACAGAAGGTTCCCACACTTTAACATCCAATGTAAGAGACCTGACCTGTAAAAAGAGAGAAAAAAGAGCTAGGTGATCAATCTATTAAGGACTCATCACAAAATATAAGTGACAGCTAAAACCTAAATATCTAAGCCAGGCACACAAGTATTGATTTCACAAGGCATCAAACAAGATGTTTTGGTTCTAAAATTACCTACATAAAATAAAATATATGACAGTCAACAAAAGCCAATATTCCTACATTTTCAATCAGGAATATCCT